AACATTCTGTTTTCTGTAGCCACTACACCACTTTACTTTCTGACCAATAGTGCCCTGGGGTTCCAATTTCCCTAGATCCCTACCATTCTAATGGGAATGAGACACTACCTCACGGTATGTTCTCAATAAAGTCCTTCAGCTAGTTTGAATACGGAGTTTTGGGAGTTCTCTGTACAGTATGGATAATAATTTCGCATTAGATATATGACATAAACATTTTTTTTTCCATTCTGTATGTTGCCTTTTCCTTCGCTGATAGCATTATTTCCTTACTTCCGTCTAGTGTTCTACACACAGTAGGGGATGTTCAAGTCTCCCATTATTACTATAGCTCTAGCTATTTCTCCTTTCATTCTGTTTTTGCTTCAGATTATTTTGATGGTTTGACATGAGTTGTATAAACCTTTATAACTGTCACATGTCAGTGTTCTCTTATATTGATCTTTTATTGATATATAATGCCTTGTCTCTTTGTAACCTTTATTCTAGGAAATTAGAAACTTCCAAAGAAAGCATATTACCAGCACAACTCTTTAAGCAAGGACCAGACCAGACAGGTTCTTCCACCAAAAAGACTTAAAGCACAGGCCTGCTGGCCTCTATTAGGCACCCAGGAGGCTTGGGATAGAGGCCACTCCAGAACCTTCAGCAACAAGCCATCATTTCTCATCTTTTGAATCTGACCTAACACATTTTGTGACAAGTACATAGAAGAATAGACACCCTGATTTAACCCATCTTTTAAGAATGCAGTAGGATGCCACCTCAGTCTGGTGGTCAGATACCCCGATCTTTTACTGAACCTGCCTATGTAATGCCCCCACCACTCTACTATACTGAATGTATTGACTTTTTTTTTTGTTCTATGGCTACAAAAACTAATGCAACCCCTTGAACATGCATAAGTCATTCGTATTTGGCTCAGAATAAAGTATTTTATTTTCCTTTAAATCAGAGTCATTCTTTTGGGTCAACAACTGGCTTGTCTGTTCTACCTGATAATGAGATAGCCACCCCCTGCTCATCCAAGTCTTCCCCTTGAAGATGCTGCCTTCAGTAGACTCCAGAGTTCCAAAATAGCTACATCAGACAGACTGATGCCAGTGCACTGCTGTGTAGGTGGGAGACTGACTCTTGATGTTACTACAGTTATATTTCCAGAATCCTCAAATAAGATGTGTTTGTAAAACCTGCTCTCAATTGGGCATAATATAGTTCATGCCTTTAATTCCAGCATTTGGGAAGTTGAGGCAAGAGGACAGTTTGAATCAAGTTTAGGCTTACACAGCAAGACCTTATCTGAAAAAAAAAAATCACAATAAAGCACAACACAACAAAAACTCTGCTTCTGGGTGAAGCACAGATCTCAAACCAGACTGAAAGATCTTTAAGGGGAGTCTTATATTTTTTGTATTTTTCAGAGTGCTCAGCATAATGGTGGGGGGGGGGGTCAGAGGAATTTTTTATATATCACAAGTTGTGGGTTATTCATTTGATAGACTATATATACACATGAACTTGCCCGTGTGTGTGCATATGTGTAAGGATGATTGATCACAGGGCTTTACATATTATAGATAGGAAATTTATCCCTGAGCTACAAAGGGTATATCCCAGATAAGGTATAATTTTTTTCTGTAATTTTGTAGACCATTATGTAGACCAGGCTCGCCTTGAACTCACAGAAACCTGCCTGCCTCAGCCTCCCAAGTGCTGGGATTAAAGGCATTTGCCAACAAGCATAGTGTATAAGATCTAATTTTTAAAGGCCAGCTTTTAACTTTATTTCTGGTTCTACAGTATTTCTAGCTTTTAAAATTTCTGCTTCAGGCTGGGTGTGCCAACACACGCCTTTAGTCCCAGCACTTGGGACGCAGAGGCAGGCGGATGTCTGTGAATTAGAGGCCAGCCTGGCCTACGTAGCAGGTTTCAGGCCAGCTGGGGTTACCCTGGTCTACACAGCAAGTTTCAGGCCAGCTGGGGTTACAGGGAGATACTGTCTCAAATGTACCAAAACACCAACCAAAAAAAAAGAAAAAAAAAATCTGCTTCAGGACAATCTGCTTCAGGACATCTTACAGATGGTTTTACTTCCGAGGCTTCTAGAACTTTCCTTACTAGGATTGCTTTCAGTTAGGTATTGTGAGGAGACACCTGAGAAAACACTTCTGAACTTCCTTCCTTTTACTTTCAAGTCTTTCACCCTCCATTTGCATAGCTCTTGAGACTGAGCCCATGGCCTTGCACATGCTAATCACACACTCCTCCACTGAGTTACATCTCTAATACCTACCCCCAGAGATTCCTGGACAGCATCCCTGAACAGAATGTGCCTGGATATTCCTCATTCTTTTGATTTCCATCCTATTTCTTAGAATTTACAGATTGGTCAGCAAGGGCAGCCACTGGGTTTACAAGATTGACAAAAGACCCAACAGCATTTGTAGCATGTACAGCAAACTCCTCCTAATATTTTAATTCACGTAACTGTGGGCATGAGAGAGGAAACGGACATCTGATGAGGAACACCCAGGGATGTGCTTAGGGACAGTCTTCCCATTGCTAAGGGAAGGCATCTGGAAGTTAGAGGCATCTTGGTGCTTGGGTGACAACAAATAATGGATGGGTAATATTCATAAAGGGGCATTTATTTATATTTTTGTTTGCTTCTAACCTGTCATCTTCATCTTGATGGCCAGCAGGGTTGACTATCTTTTGATTAAAATCTTGTATAAATGCAAAGACATATATCCATAGAGTTAGGCAATAAAATTTCTCCCCATGTTGGACAATTTTCTTGGTCTACATTCTAGACTGGCCCTTACTAGGTTAAAATGTGTGACTTTTTTGAGTTGCGCACAGTTGTATAGGCCTTTAAAATGACACTGGGGAGGCAAAGGTGGGCAGATCAATGTGAGACTGAGGCCAGCCTGGTCTACATAGTGAGTACCAGGTTAGCTGGGGCTATATGGAGATTCTGTCTCAAAAAACCAAAAACAACAAAACAACAAAAAACCAAAATACTCAGAAAATAAAAACTGATCTTTCTCAATGAGTCTGAAAAAAGCCCAACATTAAAAATCTCCAGTTTAAGGGCTGGAGGGCTGGCTCAGTGGTTAAGAGCACTGGCTGCTCTCGCAGAAGATCCAACACCCACATGGTAGTTCAACAGCCATCTGTAACTCCAGTTTCAGGGAATCCGACACCCTCTTCTGGTCTCCATGGACACTGTATGACATGGATGTACGCAGATACACGCAGGCACAACACTCATAAAAAATAATCTAAAAAACTAAAAGTCTCAAGTTTTGCTTAATATTTCATTTAGTTTTGAACATAATCATCCCTATGGGGAAAAAGAGCATTAAGTGAAAGATAATTGATAAGTAGGCCCTTAACATAGAAGTGGATCATCAATAATTTTTAGTTTAAATGTTTTCCTTTAAGAAAACAGCTGTGGCTAGGTGTTATGGCACATGCCTGGAATCCCAGCACTCAGGTGACAGAGGTAAGAGGATGGCAAGTTCAGGACCAACCTGGGCTACAAAGTGAGACTCAACCAGGTCTGGGAAATAGCTCAGTCAGGAAAGTGCTGAGCAGGAGGACCAGAGTTAGGATCTCCAGGGGGGTGTGGCAGCATGCATGGGTAAGCCCAGTGCTGAAGAGATGAAGCCAGGAGGATCCCTGGGGACTGCGGGCCAATCAGTCTAGATGAATTAGTGAGCTCCAGGTTCAGTACGAGACCCTATCTCAAAATAAGTAAGCTGTGGACAGCGAAGCAGGACATCCGGCACTCTCTTCTGGCTTCCACATGCTTGTGCACACAACGCGCATCCAAGGTACACATGTGCACACACAAATGTGTACACACATATACACGTATGCAAAAACCAAAACAACAGTCCAGTCTAGTTAAGTCACAAGGACTAGGATAGACTCCCAAGGTATGATTTTGCAGGGAGCCAGCTGGATGGTATTAGGCAAGCTAATCACTCAGTGCCTTAGCTTTGTACTCTGCGAAATGAGGAAAACAGCACCTACAGCAGTGCTTTAAGTGACTTTATACCTTTAAAATACTTCATGATTGGCAGAGTTAAGTGTCCAACAAATGCTCCTGTAAATTGTACATCAGCACTTTAACCTAGTTTAACATTTTTTTTTTTTTCTTTTGAGACAAGGTCTCACTATTGTGCTCAGGGTGACCTAGTACGTCAGTGCTGGGATTACTGGTGGGTAGAATCACTCTGGGTGAAAAATTTTAAATGCACATCCTCCTCAAATGTCTTTTACATCAAGATACGGAGGAAATACTCTTTACATGGAAGCAAGCATGAGCTTAATATAAAATTTCCCACGAATAAAGTCTTCAAAGAAATTACCACGGGTTGCACCAGGCCCCCAGCACACATTTACTGCACTGTATACACGACGAGGTAGAACTCCGAGGTTTACGTTTTCAAGATAAGCTTGGTCGCAGCAGCAGCAGCCTCAGAAACCCGCGATGCCCCTCATCACTAAAAACTGTATCGACCGTCCAACAGTCGCCATCCTGATGCAAGAAGTCACAAACTAGCCTAACAGCTTACAGCTTACTTTAATATTTAACATTGTTATTGCTTCGTTAGAGTTGCACGAATCTCGGGTCACATCAATGCATTCTACTCCCTTGTGAGGCCAGGACAGACTATACTAATTTGAGGAAATGCGTTTAGGGGACAGCTTTGTTTGTTTTTGCTACTGATGGGGCCAGGCGCGCTGCTGGATTTTCAGTACCCGACCCGCGGCTCCCCAGGCTAGAGGCCGGGTGGCAGCCGGGAGCTCCTGTCGGAGGGCCCCGGGGGCCAGCGGGCGGAGACCCCTGCTACCCGCTCCCAAATAGCGGCCTGGAAGGTCCAGCCAACGTCGGCATCTCTCGGCGCCCGGCGGCATGGACTCACAGGCTTCCCACGGAGCTCGGTCCCTCCCCGCCACCCCGTCCTGCCGCAGGCCCCTTGACTCACCTGCGGCTGCGGGCAGCATCCACGTCGCCCCGGCCACCAGCACCAGGGCCGCGGGGCCCAGGAGAGCGAGCATCGTCCGGGGCCGCGAGCCGTGTCTCTCACATCCTAGGCGGCTACGAGGGACGGAGTACGGCGGCAGCGTAGCTACGAGGACGCCTGGCCCCTTCCGCAGACGCCGGGTCCCTCCCTGAGACCCCGCCCCCTTGGGCAACAAGGCCTCCCCGCGAACTCTCCACCTATCAGCATAGGCTCCTCTCCTACGCAAACGCCCCGCCCCTCCCAGCGAGCCTGTCTTAGACAGCCTCAGGGGATCTTGCGTCCTACTCTCGCATCTTGGTACGACCCACACCCACTTCCGGAAGACGCACTGTCCGTCGCCCCAGAGGAATGCGGCGTGCTGCTAGTGCGCATGTGCAGAGGTCCTGCGCACTCCTCGCCCCGCTTCTTCGGTTCATGTTTTTTCCTGGGGCTGAGGGTGAGGGCCAGGCTGTGGGCTTTCTCTCCGGGGTTACTGGCTAGAGCAGGAAGCCTGGTACAGGAATCGCGTGGGGTACTCCGGCCTCGGGCCCGCCGGAAGGGGCAGGTCGCTTCTTGTGTGGGAGACCCCGCAGTCTAAATGTGTTGGAATAAATTTTTTTTTTTTACGCGTTTAAGAGATCATCCAAGTCAGTGATTCTTAGCAACTTTATGCAATGATAGAACTGTAACCACAAACCAATTTTAGAGAACTTTTCCCTTTTTATTTTTATTTAGTTTTAAATCTAGGGCCAAATGTTTGCTAAACGTGTGATCTGCCCTCTTTACCTCTAAAGAATACATTAAACACAATTAGGTTTGGAGGAAAAAAAATTTTTAAAAATTTCAATGATAATAGCTTAAATGAACCCATTTGAACTGCTTCAATGAATCCATTAACTATTCATTTGTTAGACGTCATGGGATGGTTAATTTTATGTGATAGTTTGTCTACTTGATTAAACAAAGGCAGATCATGGTTTGTATAAGGTTTTAAGTGGAAGAAAGGAGTTACCATCTCTTGTGATGGAAGAAGATTAAGCATAAGACAGCTTGACTTGGTTTCAAACTGGCATATTCCTCTTGTGTTTTATTTGAAACCGGGTCTTACTATGTAGCTCAGGTTGGCATTGAACTTGTGATCCTCCTGAGTGCTGAGATTATGGGCATGCACCTCTATGCTTAGCTAGTGTTCTTTATTATTTATTTTAATATTTTATTATTTATATTTTATGTGTATGTGTGTATTGCTTGCATGAATGAATGTAAGTGCACCCCTGTCATGCAATGCCCATGGAGGTCAGAAGATGCTGAATTCCCATGGAACTGGAGTTAAGGACAGTTGCTAGCTGATAGGTGGGTGATGGGAATTGAACCCGGATCCTCTGCCAGAGCAGGCAGTGCTCTTAACTGCTGAGTCATCTCTCCAGTGTATTCCTTATTTAATGGCATACTTTTAAAGAAAAGGAGGTATGTCTGAAGTCTGATTGTAGGACCTTCTAGATAATACTGCAATTTTGAACCATGTGAGAAGCTGTATTCTGTTGCCACTCACCTTCATGATGTCCCTATGATCTTCCATGAGAACATGTTTCTTTTGTATTACTATGCATTTTTTATACTACTGTACTTCCTGAGTACTTCTTGGATTGTAGGTATAGAAAGAGGAAGATTGTTTTCCCAAGCTAACACAGGGAATAGATGTCAGGGCTCAGAATGGAAATAGGTTGGATCCCAGAGCCCTCAGTCCAAGACATTGTTTTGCACCTAATTGCAGAACTGAACATTCTGCTCCTTCAAAAAGAAATGGTTGGTAATGACTCTGAGTTCTCTATCTATATATTCTAGAGTGGAGAAATCGAACTTTTTTTTTCTGATAGTTCAATGCTTGCTTTTTAAAATTCTGTACATGGCAAAAAAGACTTCTCTGCACTGAAGAAATTGAAGAAGTTGTTTCTGTCTAGGTTTCTTTTTTTCTTTTCTTTTTTTTTGGGGGGGGGTGTCTTTTTGAGACAGGGTCTCCCTGTAGCCCCATCTGGCCTGGAACTCACAGAGATCCCAAGTGCTGGGATTAAAGGCTTGAGCCACCAAGCCCAGCCTGTCTGGGTTTCTTGATTGAGTTTGTTTTCTCTGCCAATTAAAGAATTAAAAGACAGGGGAAAAAAATCTCAGACACAGAAGAAAACAATAGGTAGGTGCCATCTTTATTACACACAGTGACCCTGTATGCTTAACAGGGATTTAGCCCCTCAAAGTGTAACTAGGCATTGCATGCTGTATTAGTTACTTTTCTGTTTCTATAATAAAACACCATGACCAAAGCAACTTTTAGAAGGAAGAATTTATTTGGGCTTAAGGTTTAAGAGAGATAAGAGTTCATCATGTCTTGGAGTCATAGCAGCAAGCTGGAAGGAACTGAGAGTTTGTCTTTAGTAGCAAAGCAGAGAGAGCAACTGGAAGTGGGCAAGGCTATGAACTCTCCAAGCTGTCCCCAGTGATGTGCTTCCTCCAGAAAGGCCACAAGTCCTAAAGGTTCTATGACCTCCCAAACAGCACTACCAATTGGGGACAAAGTGTTCAAATACTTGAGTCCATTGGGAACCTTTTTATTGAAACCACCACTCATGCTTAGTCAAGGGGAAAATTATAATCCAAATTACACAGTTGAGAACATGGGTTATCAGGCCAAGAGACCAACAGGTTGTGTGTGTGTGTGTGTGTGTGTGTGTGTGTGTGTATTCATAACAGACATTTAAAATGGAAGGAATAACACAACAGCAGTATACCAATATTGTAATTGGACCAAGTCAGTTTTCCTTGAACAGGTTAATGAAAGGATGGTGCAGGTATGCAGTGTAGGGTACGCAGTACACACCGGCTTGTTGGGGGGAACGGATGCTCTTAGTCTTCTTTACAACTTCATTTCCCTGAAATGGAAATGGCTTTGCTTAGTGTATTTATTCTTGATGATTATCAACATCAAGATGTGAGTGACTCTTCAAAGGAAAAGTGCTTTAGTGCGTAGCATGCACAGCTCTCTGAGTCCAATCCTCTGGACTTGGACTCAAAACAAACAGAAAAAGTACAGGTTACAGGAAGCAAGCACCAGCCAAAGCTGATAATCAGTTATAGAGGAAGCTTTAGAGTACAACTCATTGGAATTTTAGAGGAAAGGAACTGACAAGACAAATGCTTTATTTATCAACTTCTGCTTTTGAAGAAAAAAATGTCCAAACTCACTGTTTTCCATAGCACTATGAATTTTTAAAATTAAAGGTGCAAAGATCTCATTACATTTATTTTTTTTATTTCTCTCTCTCTCTCTCTCTCTCTCTCTCTCTGTATGTGTGTGTGTTTGTGTAGGTACATGTATGGAAGTCAGAGAACAACCTACAGGAGTTAGTTTTCTACCACGAGGGTCCTGGGGATCAAAATCAAGTCATCGGGCTTGATGGCTTGATGGCAAATGCACTTACCCACTGAGCCATCTTGTGGGCCCATCACTGTCTCTTCAATAAAAACAACATTCTTCTTGATTGGGGTAAATACATATACTTGAATCCATAAGTCATCATTTCACATGGATTCTCCCAATTTCTAAGTAGCTGTCACTGGCCTCAGACACTGCTCTTTACTCACCTCCCCACCCCAGCCCCTTGCTGTGGGCCTGATCACCATGTTAGCATCTTCTGGTCTTTATTCTCCTACTGGTTCAGTCAGGTGTACACAGAACCCTCCCCTCATTGTCCGAAGATATACTAAAGACAAGTTAGCAGCTGTAATACAACTTCCACGAAAGTTCAAGGGTAAAGGAAAGGAATTCCAACCCCAATGCTCACTTTTTACTACTGCAAACAGGCCACTCTCAGAGCCCACAGGAGAAAGATCAATTAAATGCATGTGTGAACATGTCACAAGGGGTGGGGGATGTAGCTAGAAGGTAGAGGGCTTACCTAGCTTGCACAAAGCCCTGGATTTGATACCAGCACTGCATACACTGGGTATGGTGGCACACACTTAAAATCCTAGCACTTGGGAGGCAGAGACAGTAGCTTCAGAAGTTCAACGTCATCCCTAGGCTTCATGGCTATGTAGTGACATCAAGGCCAACATGGGCTACATGAGATCCTGTCTGAAAGAGCGAGAGCGAGAGCAAGCAAGCGAGCGAGAGAGAGAGAGAATGAGAATATGAGTTAGTGTTCTCCAGAGGAACAGAAATGATAGACTATATATATATATATATATATATATATATATATATAATCTAATAAATCCTATATATATATGAGATTTATTAGATTGGCTCACAGGGTAGGATCTAAGTAGTCTAACAATGGCAATGCCACACTGAAAAGGCCGAGAATCTGGTAGCTTCTCAGACCCCAAGGCTGGATATCTCAGCAGCTCTAGTATCTGGCACTGAAAGCCTGGAGAATTCCTGAAGAGCTGCTGGTCAACAAGAGTGAAGGCAAGCAGACAAAAAGCAAAAGCTCATGTCTTCCATGTCCTTTTATATAGACTGCCACCAGAAGATGCCACCCACATTTAGGATGGGTCTTAGGCTTCAAATAATCTGATCAAGAAAATCCCCTACAGAAGCACCCAGAACTTTGTGTTGTTGATTCTAGAGCTAGTCAAGTTGACAACCAAAATTAGCCATCACAGAGATAAAAAGGAAAGTTTTACAATGCAATCCATTGCTTTATACAATTAATGTGTGATTAAAAAATATCCACTATCCTAGTTACTTTTGATGTGGTTAAAACATCAAAACCAACTTGGGGAGGAAAGGGTTTATTTTACTTACAGCACAGTCCAACATTGAGTGAAGTCAAGGCAGGAACTCAGGGAAGGAACCTAGAGGCAGGAACTGAGGCATAGACCATGGAGAAACACTGGTGGTTTGAATGAAAATGTCCCCCATAGGCGCCAAGTATTTGGACGTTTTGTCCCCAGATGATGGCGCTGTTTTGGGGAGGTTTTAGAAGGTGTGGCTGTCCTGGAGGAAGCATGTCACTTGGGGTGGGCTTAGAGAGTTCTTAAGCCTTGCCGGATCTCCAGTCACTCTCTTGCTTCCTGTGCCTGTGATGA